CTGTGCCTTAAGTTCCATTCTGTAAGGAACATGATTGAAGCTATAGTTATGTTTTCTTGTCTGAAATGTACAGGCTAGTCATCTCTCCCAGTCATGTTTACAATATTACCTTGTTACTTTCTTGCTGTTAAAATCTCAGTTTGGCCTTATTGCTATAACAGCCATTGTCAGTTTAATCCTATTTCTTTCCTCTTGTTGGAGTCATTTGCTCTAATATCCTGGCCATCTTGTTCATATTTGGAGAAACTCCAGTTTCTTTTCTTTTTTAATTTTTTAAATTTTATTGTGCTTTAGGTGAAAATTTACAGAGCAAATTAATTTCTCATTCAGAAATGTATACACAGATTGTTCTGTGACATTGGTTGTAATCGTCGCAATGTGTCAGCACTCTCCCCCTTCCCACCCCAGGTTTCCCATTTCCATTTGTCCATTTTTCCTATCCCTTCCTGCCTTCTCTCATCTTTGCTTCTTTTGCATTTTGTACACTTGATTGATCTAAGAAGCATGTTCCTTCTGTGTGTTGTTTTATAGGCCTACCTAATCTTTGGCTAAAAGGTCAACTTTGGAAGTGGCTTCAGTTCTGAGTTAGGAGGGTTTCCAGGGGCCATAGTCTCAGGGGCTCCTCCAGTAAGTCAGGTCTTCTTTGTGAATTTGAATTTTGTTCTACATTTTTATACCACTCTTTCCAGGACCCTCTATTGTGATGCTAGTCAGAGTGGTTGGTAGTGGTAGCCAGGCACCATTCCAGTTACTTTTCAGTGCATTTCTTCAAAGATACATCATCCTAAAAGGTTGTGAACTCTCCACAAGGATAGGGGAAACGTTTTATTAACCTCTGGATCGCAAGCAACTGGCACATAATGGATTGTTATTTAATGTTTGTTTAAATGAGAGGATGAATCCATGGCTCTTATGTTGCTAGTTGCTGTGGAGTCAGTTCTGACTCATGGTGACCTTATATATAACAGAACAAAATGTTGCCAGGTCTTGGGCCATCCTCATGATCATTGGTATGTTTGAGTCCATTGTTGCGGCTGTTGTTGTCAGTCCATGTCATTGAGGGTTTCCCTTGTTTTCTTTAGCCCTCTACTTTACCAAACTTGATGTCCTTTTCTAGCGATTGGTCTTTCCTGATGATGTGTTCCAAAGTAAGCAAGTAGAAGTCTCACCATCCTCACTTCTAATGAGTATTCTGGTTGTATTTCTTCTAAGACTGATTTGTTCATTCTTTTGGCAGTCCATAGTATATTCAGTATTCTTCATTAACACCACAGTTCAAATGCATCAGTTCTTCTGTTTTCCTTTTATTTTTTTTGAAAAAGGAGGATGGCCATTATAGATTTGCCACTCCCCTTCTTCTGGTTCCCTGTTTGTTTCTCAAAATACATAAAGGCGTGTGTGTGTGTGTGTGTGTGTGTTTAAATAAAACATATTCCTCCATGTAACTGGTGGTAGAAGTAGGGAGCTAGGTTTATGATCTCTCTCCAGATTATATGATTATAGATTCTTGGTCTGGACAAAAGCTTTTCTAAGATACTTGAACATAAGAGTGCTCATGTTCTGCTACAGCTACCGTTAGAAAAAAAATTTTTTGGGACATTCAAGTCTACTGATTGTTACTAGAGTCTCATTGTATATGAAATAGCTTAGCTGTTACTTAGCAAATATCTGAAGTTTTAAAAATCATTTTCTAAAATTTCCATTTTGTTACTTTTCCAACTTATATAGAAGTGGTCATCCTAATTGATTGGACTAACTTATGGCACTTGAGACATTTAATAGATAACTCACAAGCCAGTTTTTCTTTTGTGAAAGGTGCAGAGGTTGATTTATATCATAAATAAAAGTGCATACCTTTTCTTTTTAGACTACTGCCTTAATTGCACCTAGAGAGAAATGGATAGCTGATAGTACAAATCACTCATAGAATAGCCTTGATGGAGTAATACCGTTAAATAAAACATAATATTAGCGGTTCACATTTTATCACATTGAAAACATAAATGTCAAAGCAATGTGAATGAAATACTTAAAAAAATTCCATATAACATGTTGCTGTTCTATTCCTTTTTCGTAAGTATTGTGTACACAGGTTAATGGGTAATTATAATTTTTCACAATTATATTCAGAATCTCTTGTCCTCTCTGATAGAATAGAGTACTAGTATTTATTTTTAAAAATCTTTACTGAGGAATAATTCACATAAAAAATAATTCATCAATTTTAAGTGGACACTGTTGGTTTTTTCCCCATTCCTTCCTGCCCCCATCCTCTTCTTTTGTCTTGATAGATTTACTTTTATAGATGTTTTGTATAAATGAGATCATATAATATTTGTCATTTTGTGTCTTAGCATAATGTTTTCAAGTTTAATCTGTGTGGTGGTATGTATCAGAACTTCCTTTTTCTTTATAGCTATATAATACTCCATTGTGTGTATGTACCACAGTTTGTTTATTCAGTCATCTGTCGTAAACACTTGGGTTGTTTCCACATTTAGCTGTTGTGAATAGCAGTGCAATGAACATTTGTGTACACGTGTCTTTTTGAGTCTCTGCTTTCCTTTTTTTTTTTGTTGGGGGTATATACCTAGTAGTGGAGTGCTGGGTCATATGATGATTCTATGTCAACTTTTTGAGGAACTGACAAACTTTTCTACAGCAGCTGCATCATGTTACATTCCCACCAGCAATGTACAAGTGTTCAGAGTTCTCTACATCCTTACCAGTGTTTGGTGTTTTCTCTTTTTTTAGATAATACTTATCCTAGTGAGTGTGAAGTGGTATCTCATTTGAGCTGATTTTCCCTGATGACTAATGATATTGAACATCTTTTCATATACTTGTTGGCCCTTTGTATATCTTCTTTGGAGAAATCTCTATTCATGTCTTTTGCCCATTTTTAAATTGGGTTGTTTAACTTTTTAAGAAACTGCCAGTTTTACAAAGTGATCGTACCATTTTACAGTCCCATCGACAGCATATGAGGAGACTTCAGTCGCTATTTTGGAGTCACATTTACATTGGTAGACCATACTGTTTTTTTATGGGAGGGGGTGCAAAATATTTAGACGTTTTCTTCCCAGAACTTTAGGGAAGCATATCTTTGGAGAATTTATGAAAATCTGGAGCACCTTTTAGTAAGACATGATCACTGCTTTAGTCCTTTTTTTTTGCATAGTATGAGAAATGGGAGAAAATGTGTTCTTACCTGTATTTGAAGAGTTTGTTTTTCTAAGTGATTGCTAAGATATTGTTAATGAGACATAAGGTCTATAGCATTTAATGTAACTAAGTATGTAGTTAATAGATGTAACTCTGGAATCTCCTCTTACAGAAGGGTAAGGGCAAAAATAGCTTATGTAAGGATTTTCTTGGAAAAATCCTGTAACTCATTCATAAGGTACCAAACATCTCTCCTGAAGTTCAGTACAGTTGTTCTTTTTTCTTCCAGCATTAGAAGAAATCAGTGTTTATTTGCTTATTCCGATGAAGTGGTTAGCTTGCATTTAGGGGCTATGTCTAATGAAAAATAATTTAAAATACTAGAATCCCATTCAGCTTGATGCAAGACATGTGGGAACTGACATAAACTGAGGAAAGGGCAGATTCGTAGCTTATGCTCACTCTGGGTCATAAGCATACGTTTTGTTGAGAGGAATGGTGGGTGGAAGTACCTATACAGTAGCTCCCCTTATCTGTGGTTTCGCTTTCCATGGTTTCAGTTACCTGCGGTCAGCCAAGGTTCGAAAATGTTAAATTAGTACGCAGCATGGTGAAATCTCATGCCGTTCCACTCTGTCATTCACATAACTTTTATTACAGTATATTATTGTAATTGTTCTATTTTTAGTTATTGTTTTTAATCTCTTACTGTGCCCAATTTATAAATTAAATTTTATCATAGGTATGTATGTTTAGGACAAATTTTAGTATATATAGGGTTCAGTACTATGCGCAGTTTCAGGCATCTATGGGAGGTCTTGGAACGTATCCCCTGCGAATAAGGGGAGACTACCGTATTGTTTCAGGTATTTCTATTTCTTTTTTTTGTGTGTAAATGGTTGAATTCTTGTAAGGTAAATGCATATATGATGTGATTGCAGTATAGTAAAGTTATGGAAACAGCTGAGGCCAAATGAATATAATAATAATAGTAAGAGTAGAATGGCTAGTAGGACTGTGTATTAATCTGTGTCCGTCAGCCCTTTTTAACTTACCCTAGGAGATTAGCAAGGATAAGTAAACATGAGTACCTGAATTATTCAGTGCTTTTTTCCCTTTTCCTGATATGCTTAGGTTGTTTGCTTTCTTCCTTCTCTCTTTTCTTGTGTCCTCTGCATTCCTCTGTTGTATCCCCAACTCCCTTGCATTCTCTCATCCTTGAATATCAGTAGTATACCTTTTTTCCCTTTAGAATGCTGCAAAAACCATAAATATAAATCAGTGATAAAATTATATTTTGTAGCTCTGTTGTATATGTAAGATAAACTAAAAAATAACTTTAAAAATGATGGTCCACTTTCATGAACCTGAACTTTTAACTGTTTATCAACATTCCAAATACTTTTGCATAAAGATTTAATAAAAACTTGAGTTGCCTAATTTGTGTAATGCATTGTTTGATTTCATATTTTAAGAATTAAAAATGTGGATCTCTTTCACTAGCCTGAGTAATTAAGAACTGATGAGACAGTGTGGCATACAAGAAAGTTTGCTAGACTTAGTGTCCCAAGTCCTGAGCTCCAGCCGTTTTTAACCCACCTTGTGATCCAGGGCAAGTCACATTTCTCATCTGTAGAATGTGGGGCCTGGACTTGGTATTGAAAGTTATGAAGATTTCCCTCTGGGGGAGGGGAAGCAAATGTGCAAAATAAGTTGTTTTTGAAAACGTGTTTTTTTTTTTTTTTTTGCTATATAAGTTATCCCTGAAAGTTAATGGCTTTACTAGAAATGATGTATAATCACTTTTGAATTTGTGTATATCTCATCTGTTGCAGGATGCTTTAATCTGGATCCCAATAGAGTTTTGGATGTCATTTTAGAAGTGTTTGAATGCAGGCCAGAACACGATGACTTCTTTATATCTTTATTAGAATCTTACATGAGTATGTGTGAACCGCAAACATTGTGTCACATTCTTGGGTTCAAATTCAAGTTTTATCAGGTAATAAAAAAATATATATATGTACATATATATATATATATATACACACACGCACGCACAACACACACACAGGTTAATCTCATGATTTTATTATGTACAATTTAATTTTGAATTTGATTTGTAATTGTTTTCAACTTATTCTAGCAGAGAAATAGAAAATGAATGGCTAACAATACAGTGTAATAAGTAGTGTATTAGTGTTATGAATGATGTGATATGAAAGCCTAGAGGAAAGCATGATTAATTTTTGCCTTGAAAGAGGTAGAGTCAGGTAATACTTTATAGACATGACCTCCTTTAACTTGGTCCTTGAAGGATGAGTAGGAGTTTGTTGAGAGTTTTCTATGCAGAAGTAACAGTGTGAGAGTGAAGATGTGGGGTGTGAATGTACACGAATGTTGAAGGAGTGATACATAGTCTGATGTGGCTGAATTATAAGATGTGGGGAAAAGAAAGGGCAAGAATTGAACTTAGGAAGGTAGGCTCACTTTAGATTGTTAAGGGACTTAATACTGAGTTTAAGAGTTAGAATTTTATTGTATAGACAGTGGCCACTGGAATTTTTTATGGATGTTAATACATACTTGAGACTTACCTTACATTGTTTTTCATTTAAACCACAATAGAATCTAACTAATCTCTATGCCTTGAGTTATTTCTCCTTCAATCCATCTTCCCTGTTATTGCTGCTGTTACTTTCTAAAAGAGATCTAATTGAGGCACTTCACTGCTCAAAATCCTTTGCCTGTAGGATAAAATTCAAACTTCTGAATGTGGCAGGAAAGGCTCTTCACAATCTAGCCCTGTACTTTCTTTCCAGCCTCATCTTTAATCATATTTTTTTCTCAAATCTAATATTCTAGTCATATCAAATAGCTAGCCATTTCCTGAACTTAGGTATAGGCATTGCTGCGAACTTTTGTTTGTGCAGTTCCTTAAAACTAGGAAACTCTTCTTACCCAACCCTCTCACATCCCCTTTCTTCATCTTGTGAATTCCTGTTTATTCCTTAAGATCAAGTGATACTTGGCTCTGTAAAGTCTTGACTGACGTGTCACCCATGCAGAATTACTCACTTCTTAATCTGTATTCTCATAGGACTTGACACATATTTCTAGTACTTATCATGTTATGTTAGAATAAATTGTGTCTATCTCCTTTGTCAGATTGTGTGCAATTTATATCAGGGTCTGTGTTTTAGTAATTCTGGGATTAGTTTACTGCTTAGCCTTTAGTAAAACAAACAAACAAACAAAAAAACCAGTTGCCCTCGAGTCGATTCCAACTCATAGCGACCCTATAGGACAGAGTAGAGCTGCCCCATAATGTTTCCAAGGAGCGCCTGGTGGATGTCAACTGCCGACCTTTTGGTTAGCAGCTGTAGCACTTAACCACTGCGCCACCAGGGTTTCCTAGCCTTTAGTAAAGCTCACTAAATGTAAATGAGACTGATATGTGTTTTAGGAAGATAACTCTGTAGTTAGTAGATAGTAGAATTTCCATGTAATGAGGCTTCCATTGTCCTTTTGGCATAGCTTTGCTGATTTGTCTATCTGCCTGGGATGATCAGTCAGGAAGTACACATTTATTGAGCATTTATCATATGCTGTTGCTTTGCTAGACACAGAACATACTCTGATGAAGAGGAGGAACTATTCCTGTCCTCTTGGGGCTTGAGTTAAGAATTGTAAGAAGATTCCTTTTAGGATTCTCAAATGATACATCACTTACTGCTTCTAATTATGCTTTCATTTTCCATTGTCTGGGATACTCCAAAAGACAAGAGAAAACAGATCATAGCTTAAAACTATATAGCACTTTGAGACTAAACAAGACACATGGCAGGGTTTTTGGGCAAACTCACTGCACCTTCATCTTTGTTCAGAAACTAGTAATGGTAGCTGCTCCTTTTCCTACTAATAGCCAAGGAGCATGCTCTTAATACAGGAGAAGAGAGATTCAAGTATTCCATCAGTTTTTTAGAGGTACCATGATTGCTTTGGGTTTGGAAACATGAAGCCAACTGCTGAAGTGACAGGGTAGCTGAAATTTGACTTGGGCATGATGAATTTGAACATTGGTTAGGGCTTTGGAGACGCTAGCTTTCAGAGCAGATCACGGTGAATAATGATGATCTACTGTATAAAATCAAGTATTGTTGGCCGAATTGAGTTTTAGAATTGGAAAAAATCTTTTTATATGAAATATTCCTCATGATAATGTAAACATTTTTTGAGCTGAATTAAAATATACCCAGAGTAGTTGGCAATATTTGAATAATTTTTTTATTAGCATTTTTCTTATATAAGCGGTACCCAAGCAAGAAACATTTGATTCAGAAATAACCTGTTCTTGGAAAGAGTAACCCTTGTATTGCTCTGTGCAACACTATATTCCCTCGTTTCTATTGCCAGAGCTATCTTGTGAGAACGTGCAATTTTAAGGGCCACTGAGGGTAAGGGGAGAAATGTTAGCGATTCTAGGTAATTTGTGGTTTGGGAGGTAAAGTAAGGAAAACTATGAAAACCAAGAACTGCTTAGGGCATGTAACCCTGGTAGTAGGTTCTTAGGCATGTATGGTCTATGTATTGGTCCCTTGCCTAACTCCAACCCTGTTTTCCCTATCAGCTCCTCAGCCCCAACCCATATTCTGACCAATTGAGAATTTGGATTAACAGGCTGCTTCTTTTTTTAATGCTAGTACTTCTAGGCATAGCTAATTATTCCAGTTATCATGTCAGTGAGAGTGGTTTTATTCTAGCATCAAGCTATGATCAGATATACTGGATGCTTTGACTTGGAAGGATGATGGGGAATTTAAGCAGTTTTAGAGCACATGAGCATTTTGGAGAGTAGAGCAGCCACATCTGCCCCTATTCCTCTAACAGGAATTGTTACAATAGTGGGTTTAGGGATAGCATGAGGAACAGCGAAAGGGACAGGGAGAAAGGAGTACTAGAAAGTGTGAGGGTACCACAAAACAAACTTGGCTGTAGTTGTCTTGCAACAGGAGAGGAGATAATTGCTCTCACCTATATCATAGCCCCTTGATTTTTGAATTCAAAACACAATAATAGTAGTAATAGCAGTACCATTGTTAAGTCCTATTATACCCCAAATTCATTCATTTAAGAAGTATTGATTGATTGCCTATTATGCGCCAGGTACTGTTCTAGGTGCTGTGGCTACATCTGTAAACAAAGGGAAATCTGCCTTCATGGTGCTTACATTCTAAGTAAATTTTATGGTATGTTAGAAAGTGATCAATGTGCTGGGGCAAAAAAGAAAATACAGAGCAGCATAAGGAAGGTTGGGAGTGCTGGCATGGTAGGTTGCGATTTTAAATAGAATGGTGCAAGTAGACCTCTTTGAGGAGGTAAGATTTAAGCAAAGACTTGAAGGATGTGACAATGTAAACTGTGTGGATATCTGGGGAAGAGCCCCTAGGCAGAGGAAACAGCCAGTTCAGAGGCCCTAAGGTGAGCATGTCTGATGTGTTTGAGGAACAGGGAAGAGGCCAGTGTGGCTGGATTAGAGTGATCGAGTGGGAGAGTAGTAGGAGATGAGGTCAAAGATGAGGGACCAGATCACCTAGGGCTTTGTAGGCTAGTGTAAGGTTTTTGACTTGGATACTGACTGAATCCAATGGAAGGTTTTAGGCAGGGGAGTGATGTAGTTTTTTTTTTTTTTTTTGAACATTTTATTGTGTTTTAGGTGAAAGTTTATACAGTAAATTTGTTTCCCATTCAACAACTCATACAAAGATTGTTCCGTGACATTGCTTGTTATCCCGGCATTGTGTCAGCACTCTCCTCTTTCCCCCCTCTGCCTTTCCCGTTTCCATCCCTCCAGTTTCCCTGCCCCTCCTTGCCTTCTTATCTTTGCTTTGGGCAAATATTGTCCGTTTGGTCTCATTTAGTTGATTATCCTAAGGATCACATTGCTCATAGGTATTATTGTTTGTTGTGATCTTATTTAGTTTTTTTGTTTCTCTTTTACTTTTTCACTTTTATTGTGAATGTTTTCAAACATACAGAAAAAGAGTGTGTAGTATAATAAATATCCATAATCCATCACCTAGAATTAAGTTTATTAATATGCTACCGTACTTTTTTGAAATATTAATTTATATTACAAATATCATGAAAGATCTCTCCTAAATAGTTTACACTTTTAAAAAATAAGGACATTTTTCTGTATAACCATGACACCAATTTCATACCTAACTAGATAAACAGTAATTCATTACTATCAACTCAGAGCATATTCAGATTTCCCAAATTGTCCCCCAAATGTAGTTTGTAACTGGTTTGTTCAAACTTCGATCCCATCAAAGACCATACATTGTATTTGTTTGTTATGATTCTTCAGTCTCTTTTTAATCTAGAATAGTGCTGGCCCTTCATTTAATCACATTGACTTGTTGAAGAGACCATTCGTTTTGAAGAAGGCTCCACATTTTGGATTTATCTAATTGCTTTTTCATGGTTGGTTAATTTGTTCTCTATCCCTTGTATTTTTTATACTGTGAATTAGGTCTAAAGGCTTGATAATGTTCAGGTACAGTGTTCTGTGGCAAAAAGATAGGTTGTGTTATATGTTTCATATTGCTTAACATCTAATGTCTGTCTCATTTTTAATGGTTCAGTAAGTTGGTGATAGTCTAATTCCCTCCATTATACAATTATATTTCCCCCCTTATCAACAGCAAGTTATCTGCAGGTTGATACTTTGCTACCATGTGAATATCTAACGTCTCATTTACCAAACATTGAAATGTTTTAGACTTTATGGATGAGCCTGGCCTGAGTCAGTTATTTTTTAGGGATTCCAAATTGTTGATTTATTAATTTTATCATGCCTTCTGCGTTTATTTGTTGTCATTCTTCTGTAAAGAAGAGCTATCTCTTATCAACTCAGGCTATTTTGTTACCCTGAAGTACAGTTCCTACTGGAAAGGCAGGACAGATGCTTCCCCCTCCCGTGTTAGTTACCATGTA